CTCTGGCTCTGGTGAATTCTCTCACCCTCCCGCGCTTCTGACTGTACCCAGTGCTTGTATAAATAAATAAATAAATCTTTAAAAAAAAAAAAAGAGAGAGAGAGAGATAAATTCTTTGATTCCCACCAGTGGCCAGAGGCTAAGGCGCCTTGTCTTCTACAGCTTGTGGCCGGGAGCCATGTGGTGGGGACCCTGTGGACTTGCTGCTGCTTCTCGCTGGAGCGGGGAACTTCCAGTGGCCACAGCACATAGAAATAATGGAAAAAGAAATGACAGGGCTGGGAAAGCAGCTGGGACACAATTCAAGGGTTATCTGACCCTGAAGGGAATCTGAGACCCTCACATGGAGGAGGGAACCCCAAAACCTCTTCACCTCCCCAGAACTCAACACCTCTGCACTGGTTTATTTTCAGAGGTCCTCCCCCACTGCATCCCCATACCAGTATTTTTTATTCTTGTTTTCTAGAGAAGTCCAGGATGAATTCACCAAGCTGCTACATCACTGGGACGAGCATCATTTTGGGATCCCTGCTTTAAACTCTTAATGAGTCTTCACTGTTTATTGCAGAGTGGAGGAAGACCTGACAAGTGATCAAAGCAGGAAACTTTTTAAACCTTTTAGTCAGAAACAAGAATAATCTTGAAGAAGGTCCTCCCTGGCCAGGGAGCTAACCCACATGGTGCAGCAGACCTCTCCTGTCTGCCCACTGCTCCCCTCAGCAGTGTATTTCAGTAGATCCGCCTGTTCTGCAACCCACTCTGTCTCTGGTGAGTCTTCTTATTTTGGTCTACACCCCTACAGCTCTTGTACGCATAGATAGATAAATCTTTAAAAAAAAAAAAAAAAAGAAGAAGAAGAAGAAGAAGAAGAAGAAGAATCTTAAAGAACTGACAAAACAGAGGGGCTTAAACTAAGGGTATTAAGTGGTAAGGAAGTAACCAGAAAGACAAGGGTTAAGTTTAACAAGGTTTGCTTATACAACATTCTGGGTCTTGAAGCCTCTGTCTTTGAAAATAAGAATTTCTTTATCCTCCTGGCACAGGGATGAAATTGTTAGGAAGGATTGGAAATTTCCCCCTGTCTCTCTGGGTTATTCTTCTCCGGTTGCTCAAGCAATCAAATTAACATCTGGCAGATTAGTAGGAAAAAAAAGAACAAATTTGATTCCATACATATGTGGACTCTAGGTAGATCCCAAGGTCAGGGAAAAGAAACGGGGGTGTATGTCTTGAGATAAGGAAGGTGACTTAAAAACGTATGGTAAACAAGGGTTGGTTAGTAAGGTTTGTTATGAAGATCCAAATAAGTATCTTCTTCCTTGATACAATGCTAATACTCCTCTTCCTGGAAAATGGAAATTTCCTTCATAAATGTTACTTTTACAAAAGGAAAAAATATGTTCAGGATTTAGAGTCTCCCCTTGTCTGCTGTTCCTTAATTGGCTTCAGCTCAAAATAAACCTCAGACGAAAGTGGCATATTTGGGGGCAGCATATTCTGACCAGCTTAGTCTGAAAGATAATATAACAAAATATTAACAATTGGTGAATCAAGGTAAAGGATAAAAAAATACACATTTTTCAAACTTGAACTATTGAATTGAATAAATCTCAGTGAAAGTAAAATCTCTTTTTGGAGGGAGCATTAATATCAAGATATGAATCCACATTCATTCTTCCATCTTAAAAAAAAAAGTTTTTGAGCTAATCACAAGACAGGTTATATGCTGTAACATATGCTTTTATCAGCATGAGGGTTAAATTATAATTGCTTACCTAGAATTGCAATCAGGAAGGTTGTGACACTTTCAAGTTTGTAATGAGAATAGAATTTTGCCTTGGGGACAGACTTTCTTTCTTGTAGCTACACCCAACTCTCTCTTGGTAGAAGTAGCTCAACTTCCTCTCTGTGAAAAGTATACAGGATATAAAAAAATGGAAGCAGAGCTAGAAAAGACATATTTCATGAGAAATATTACTTCTTTGCTAGAAGTGGGTAATGGTAGAAGTGTAATTCCCTTGCTAGAAGTGGAAGTGTGTAGGACTCCTCTCAAAGATAATATTGTTAGGGGGAAGTGTCAGGCACCCCGTTTTGTATCGGGGTTGCTCTACAACAATATGAACACCTCTTCTTTTTTTTGGCGGGGGGTAGCATCTGCCCCCATGAGTCTACACTCCTTAACTGTTTTGTGTTACTTCTGAATTCCACCCCCACTCCAGACCAAAGCCATCAAGACACCAGAAACTATAAATCCCATCATCACCAAAGGGTGGGGGGGGTTGCTGGGACCTGAGGGTGGAGTTAAGCAGCCAGGTTTGGTATAAAACAAGACATGCAGGCCTTGGGGATCCTCTTGGCCTCTTGGCTCTTGGCTTGACTCTTGGCTTTTCACCAGCTCTCAGCGTGCCATTGAGATTACAGGTCAGTGGAACTGGTAGGACACATTCAAGAATTTATCTCCCTCTTTTTCTTCCTGAGTTATTCATTTCTTTATTTCCCCTTCTTTTGTAAATATGTAACAGGGTGGTCCCCAGGAAAGGGGGAGGTTCCCTGCCCCACCCAAGGGAGGGTGGAGCTGAGCAGGAAGAGGAGAAGCTGGAGAAGAGACTGAGGAAGGAAGCAGGATGGAGCCAGGAGACCTGGAGGAGGCGCATGGAGCCTAGAGACACGTAAAGAAACTGCGCTTGTCTTTTGGTCGTGGACTGGGTGACACAGATGTGGGTGAGACCTGTGGGGAGGTGACAATGGCAGCTTTTATCTTGGTGTTGATTTTGCTCTTTTCCTTACGGGCTTGTCCGGTTGTTTGTGACCCTTTGCTTTGGCGTATGAATTAATTTGAACTGAAGGCATTGGAGAACCTACAGGCTCAAAAGAAACTTGAGCCTGTAGGTCAAGTGGGTCCCCACTGGAAGATGCTTTAGACTTGGGGCAGGCTTTGGGGCCTTGTTCTGGGCCGATCCCATATGGATGGACTTTTACCCACGAGGGGACGGGTAACTTTGGATGCTTCATTTAGAAACTAGACTCTTTGCCTTACCTGTATTGTTTCCTAGTTTTATTAAAGTTCCTTCCCATTAAAGTCTCCTATGTTTTGGGTTGATGCGGCGGATGGCAGAACCCATTTAGAATAGGCAGGTTTGCGGGGTTTGGGCTGCCCCTCTCCCTGTCCTATAACAGATTAACCCTTTATTAACCTTTTTGTGTGCCTGCCAGTTGAGTATTACTATAAGTCCCTTATAAGCACACGGGTAAGGACCCACAGTCAGCAACCCATTTCAAATGAGGGTTGCCCTGTAACAGGTCCTGTAGGAGAGAGGAATCATAGTGCAGATCCTCAGAAGCAGATATTGCAGTCACTGGGAAGAAAATAACTAGAAGCCAAAAATAACATTAACAAAGAAGATAGGAGCAGCCACAGTCTTGGGAGTCCAAAGACGCTGAGAACATTCCAGGCTGAAATCACTGAAATTGTTCTAGGGGTGGTAAACATGTAGCCCGAGCAGGAACTCAGCAGCAGAAATGGATGAAACAATTGAGGTGAAAGGATGGATTGGGAAGTGGGATAGAGGCCACAGGAGTTACAGCAGTGGTGTAAAAGGCAGCTGCAGACCATTGCTTGTCTGTTAAGGACAGCATTTGGAAATGTATCAGAAGGGAACCAAGTGGCCTCCAGAGGGAGGAGCATTTGGGCACTTGAAGGAATAGTTAAGAAATAAACCTCAGGAAGATTCTAGAAGAATCTAGAAGAATCTGTTCTAGAAGAAATCTAAAGAATGGCCCAATTCAAGCCTATGGTGCATGGGACGGGAACATTGTGTGGTTGTAGAGGAGGTATTGGCTAGACCATCTACTGGCAGAAAAGGAAACCCAAATGGAATGTCTTTGTTCATTGCTATAGGAAAGGGAAAATCTTCCTCAACCCTTAAAGTTTCTTTTGGCTAGCATAATAATTAAGCTGACACAAAACAGATTAACAAGAGAAAAACAAATTTAATTTTAAACCTACAAGGGTTTGAAATAGACATGATGGTTTCCAGGAAAGATGGTTAAAAGTTAGCTTACATGCCTTCTTAAACCAAGGAATAGGATAGGGGCCTGGGGCTTCAAAGAGGGAGGAAGTAGGGCAATTCATATGACAATAAGGAGAGTAGATGTTGGGTAATTAGAGGTTTGCCTTGCTATACAGATAGCTCATAAAGATTTGTTTCTGATAATTTCTCTAATTATAGGTAAGGTCCTCTATCTAAATTCTTCTAGGCAGTTAAGGGAGAAACAAAAGTTTCTTTTGAGCCTGTAGGTTCTCCAATGCCTTCAGTTCAAATTAATTCATACGCCAAAGTGAATTAATTGGCACATCTTGGAGAGACCTCTTCTGAAGCCCTTCACAGCCATCTTCCTGCCCACAGTAGAATACCACCTCCCTGAGGGGAAGGGTTCTTACCTCTCACTCAGAACCCCAGGATGCACCATGCAGTGGTTTTGGAATGAATGACCTGGTCTCCTTAACAGCTGCTGCAGGTGTGTCCTGCCTGGTTCTTTGGCCTCTCAGCCCCTCCCTGCATTCCCCTAATCTCTCGCCTGTCCCTCACACAAGCTGAACTATTTGAACACTATTTCTCTATCTCTGGGACTAGAGCTGCTTGTGTTCATACCTCATTACCTCCCCACCCCTTACCTTGCCTCTAGCACAGAGGTCTCCCCTTGTGGTTAGCAGCAATGCCACACCCACCCGAATCCTGAGACTGCACCAAAAAAAAAAAAGGAGAAGAAAAAGAAGATATTGCTCCTGAAAAAAGAAAATGGAAATGACAAACACTGATATTCTCTCTATTTGCAACTGTGCAGTTTTAACCCTTAAAATTTCTGTATATTCTACCTAGTAACTGGTGAGAAAGTAGGATCAGAGATGTGGTTGGCCGGCTCGCCTGCAGCGGCCAGTCCCGGGCGCTCCCCAGCTCGGGGCCTGAAATCTCGGCCTGCGAGGCGGGAGGGCGCGGGTCTCAGCCCCGCGGCTCCTTCGCGCGGCGACTCCGGGGAGGGGAGGGTAAGTTTTTTTTCTCCGCTTTCCAGAGGGTGTGTTCTCTGGGTGCGACTGGGCCCGTAGGCGGGATAGAAGAGAGGAGGCACAAAAGGAAAATCATCATTTGAGCGTCAGAAGAGAGAAAACGCACAATTCTAGAAGGTAGAAAAGGGAGGGGAAGCCAAGCTCTAGAACGGGCTGGGGAGGTGGGGGGCGCGCAGCCTGAGGTGGGAAAGGTGGGGTCTCAGGGGAGGGACGCTTCCTGGGGTGCGGAGACGCCCCCCACCCCACCCCCCCGCCCCCTCCTCCCCCAGTCACCGGCTCTACCTTTAGAGGAGGAGGTAGAGAGGGAGAGTGGAGAGAGGAGATCAGGTGACAGCTGGAGAAACTCAACTCTGGCCCTAGAAGTGAGCGGAAAACTGCCCCCCCCCATCTCCCTGAGGCCAGTATTGTTGACTCGATCCATGGAACGTTTCATGAATCCGTCTTATCTAAAGATACCCGAACCTGGGGCCAGGGGGGTGCCCAAGGCAGAAGTGTGCGCGCCTATGATACCAGCACGGGTTATAGGGAGGTTTGACCTAGCTCAAAACTTAGTGCCAGCGTCCTTGGCTGACTCCTCCACGTCTGTGTCTGTCCCCAGGCCTCCATCCCGCCTCTCCTGGGTACTCTCCTGGATGTCTACACCTTGGTGCTTATGGAGCCCATTGCTTCCCAGCACTTCTTTCTGCCAGACACCCTTCTCTTCTTCCTCCTCAGCTCGATTCCACCCTTGTCAGGTAGGGACTCCACTGAGAATATCCATTGCTCGGAAAGGAAAAGACCCCTTCAGTCTGCAGAGAAGCAGAACCCAGAAGCACTGTAATTGGATCACTGCCCTTTCATTGTGCACAAGTTCAGTGGCATGTACCTGTCCTATCTGCTAGAAACACACAACCACAAAGGCCAGCTGCAGATGCAGTTTTAAGTTTTTGAGTAGTTACATGCAAAATGGCAAAAAGAAACAGTTAAAATAAATTTTGATGGTATATTTTATGTAACCCCAAGTCACTGAAGTATTATTTAAACTTTTAATCAGTCCCAAAGACAACTAATGAGATTATTAACATATTTTATTCCACAATTTCAAAACTATATATGCATTTTGCATTTGCAGCACATTTCTTTTTTCTTTTTAAAGATTTATTTATTTATGCATACAAGAACCGGGGTATAAGCCAGAGGTGTGGGTGGTGAGAGGATTCACCAGAGAGAGTGGGGAGCAGAACAGTCAGGGGTACTGAAATACACTGCTGAGGGGAGCAGCAGGTGAGACAGGAGACGTCTGCTGCTCTGTGTGGGTTTTCCCTGGCCAGCCCAGAATCGAACTCAAACTTGAACGTGAACTCGTGCTGTAGTGGCTGACAGTAGCTTGATAGTGCTGTCTTTAACCCCTACGCCACCAGAGAGGCCCCTTGCAGCACATTTCAGTGAGTCTAGTTGGTGGCTAACCTGTTGGCTCTGTCAAGTTCATGCTACAAACAACCTTGGGTTGGGGAACAGCCATCCTCTATAAGCAGATGGTCTCCGTGGGATGCTTGGTGTGTGCGCCCCATTGTTTCCCCCTTGAAGCATTAGCAGCATCAATAGAATCCACTCTTAGGTATCAGTAACTGCCAACCAGTCATAGCTCCCACAGAAGCCTCTGGAGCCTTAGAAAGAATATGTCTGCCCCAGAAATATCCACATCCTTGCCTAGCTTAGATATTTGATGACCATTGGCCCCTGTTCAATTCTACCCCTTTGTCGAACAGCCCAGTTTACCGTCGTGGGGCCAGCTGATCCAATCCTGGCCATGGTGGGAGGAAACATCACATTCCACTGCCACCTGTCACCTGAGAAAAGTGCCGAGGACATGGAGGTGCGCTGGTTCCGGGCTCAGTTCTCCCTGGCAGTGCTCGTGTATAAGGGTGGGCGAGAGAGAACAGACTTGCAGATGGAGGCATACCGGGGAAGGACAGCCTTCGTGAGCGAAGATATCTGCCGGGGCAGCGTGGCGCTGGTCATACACAACATCACAACCCAAGATAACGGCATCTACCGCTGTTACTTCCAAGAAGGCAGGTCGTACGATGAGGCCATCATGCGCCTGGTGGTGGCAGGTGCGTCATGTCCTCAGGCTCTGATGGCCTTTCACAGCGTGGCTCTTAGGGAAGGTTTCTCTCCCACCTTCAGGCCCATGGCAGAGCAGCAGATGTTTGCCTAGAACCCTTTACACAGGGAGGGTGGCTTCCTCCTGCCTGAAGTGGTGGGTGTGCCCTGCAAAACTGAGGGTATCAGTTCTCAAGCACACACAGGACTCAGCTGTAGCCTTGAGCAAGGGAGAATGCTTAACCTCTAATTCTTTCATTAAAAACAAATCTATTGATGTACCATTGCATTATAATAGTGTGTATTTCATGTATGCAACATTATAAATCAGCCACATTGAGGTATATGTGGTATATGCCACATTGCAGTCCCATCTAGCACAGCACCTAGCACATGGGTCCTCCATAGGAGACCTTATATTTATTATTTGAACTGTACACTTTTCAGGGTGAGGGAGGCACTGCCATAACTGCACTAGAACATCTGGAGTAAGCGAGAGCTCCCCAACAAACCATAACATAGGGACATCTCCTTTCTTGATAAATTTTAATTTTGTCTTGTTTTCTTTCCCTAAATACTAATTGTGATGAGAGTGACTATTGTGCAAATCAATCATTTCATTAAGGCCAATTGGTAAGGCTTCAAACTAGAAGTGGCCTATGAACTGGGATTTTTTTAAGAGATTATTAAAAATGACTTTAAAGTATGACTCATTCATGGATACAGTGTGTTATATTTTAAGAGAAATGTTTGAAGACTGGAAAAACCTTTAAGACTCACATAAATCAATGGCATTTCAGTCCATCAAGACAGTGGAGGTGAAGTTTGGGAACAGTGCGACCTTCCCAGGGGCCCCAGATCCTACCTGATAGGAGACCCCAGCATGGTGCAGCTGTGTCCCCAGATTAAGAAAATAATTTGAATCCAAAGAATAAACCAAGCACTCACACTAATTATGCTTAATATTTATTAAGGGCAACTTGCATACAGGGGACCTAAGCAGCAAAGCTGGTAGGCAGGATCCACGCCACCCTCCCTGACTAAGGATATCTTATTTCTTAAGATTTATTTTTTTATGCATACAAGAACTGGGGTGTAGGCCAGAGGTGTGGGGGTGACAGAATGGGGAGCAGAATAGGCAAATTGACTGAAACTATGGCTGAGGGGAGCAGTGGGCGGGACAGGAGAGGTCTGCAGTGCCATGTGGGTCACCTCCCTGGCCAGAGATCGAATTCTTTCTACAGTAGTTGTGATAGCTTCATAGTGCTGATGCTTAACCCCTTGTGCCAACAGGGAGGCCTCCTTATACTTCTTATACTCTGCTTAGTATATATGGTCATTCTTGTGTAAGACTAGTGTTGACAGATGTCCAAGAAGAAGTGTCGCTCATGACTTTGTTCTACTAACACTGATAAAGTTGTTTATGGATCATGAATAGACATTAACACATGGGAAGGAAACAGTGGGGAAATTGGCTGTCTTCCCAGGGTAGGGAAATTGCCATCATGAGCCTAATAGGTCATTGATACAAGATGAAGTCACTTTGGTTTCCCCACAGTTACTCGAAAGTGCAACCTTGTATCTGATTCCTACAAAATATCCTTGTAGGAGGGTTTCTTAGCCACTAAACCACTCTCTTTTTTTTTAAAGATTTATTTATTTATTCATACAAAAGCTGGGGTGCAGGCCAGAGATGCGGGGGATGAAAGGATTCATCAGAGACAGACAGATGTACTGAAATACACTGCTGAGGGGAGCAATGGTTGAGACAGGAGAGGTCTGCTGTGCCATGTGGGTAGCTCCCTGGCCAGGGCTCGAACTCATGCTGCAGTGGCTGCTGAGGGCTTCATAGGGCTGAGTCTTAATCCCTTGAGCCACCAGAGAGGCCCAACCACTCTTAATAATATCCTACACAGCTCACCAGTATGGGTTTGTATGTAGCAGGAACCCTCTATTCTTTCCCTGTAAATGTGACCCTGAACAATCTGAATTAGGTTTTTTGCAGAATTTTCTGCTTATTATTTTTTTATTTTGTTATGACTGGCTAGTTTTGTCCTTAAGTCTGCTGTCTTATGTTTGCTCTCATTGAACCCCATGGAATGATTTGGAGAATTTCTTTGCAACTTGCCTAGTTCTTTTAACCTTCACTCACTTCAAGTTTCTGTGTGAGTCATTCAATACGCAACTAGTTTCTTTCTTCTTCCTACCAAAAATCAAGCAGAAAGCATGAAAACTTAAGCAATTGTTTTAATCTTGTCTTTGCTATATTGTTGGCTCAGCTTAGCAAAAGAATTACTTAAAAGAAGTTTGGTTGGTCACTAGATATATGGCTAAAAGGGCAGAAGTCTCCTGGGACTGTGCATAAGCACCTCTTTCACACAGGATTCTCTTTTGTTGAAGATTCCTTTAAAAATAAAATAAATTAAGAAGTGTCTGGAGTCTTAGGACTTTTGATGATGTTCTGTTGCCATTGAGGTGATAACGTTATCTTGAGGATTCCAGGTGCATCTGCTAGGACCTTGCCTTCAAATAGGTCAATGTTGTGGAGATACTATTAGAAAATCAACTAATTAACTGAACCCCAGAAGCTAAGCATCTAAATTGGGAGAAGGGTTGACTTTGCACACTAACTCTATCCATTCTTCTAAAACCCAACAGCTCCTTGTGATAATCAGATAGCTGTGCTGATCTGAACCCCTGAAGCAGGAGACAGTATATTGAGGTTAAAAAAAGTTTCTTAGATTCTGCCAGCCTGGCAGGTCTCTGTCCTTATCATATTAACCTAGAGCTTCAGGAAGCCGAGGTTACTGAGTTGTCCTCCCAGGGCTAAAAGTGAAATCCTAAACCTACTAGTTTCATGTCAGAGTGGACACACCCACCTTGAAGTTAGAAAATGAAAACCTCTAGTTAAATGAATGAATGAATCAACCACCACTTGTTGGAAGGCATATCTGCTTGGTCTTGTGATGGAGCCTGGAATTGGAGCACAAGGAAAAGTGTGTTGTAATCCTTTCCCTTCAAGAGCTCAAAATATGTTTGACATATTAGTCTCCTGGTGTTCTTTGATTTTCCTTCCTGTCTTCTTTCTTCTTTCATCCTTTCTTCCTCCTCCCTTCACAGGGTGGGTACTGTAGGAAAGCACAGTATATAAATAACCAGTTTGTCTGACTCTGATTACTTACTTTCTTCCCCTGCGCCCCCCCCCCCCGGCCCCGCCTTGACTCTCACCATTACTGGTGCCCTAAGACATTTTGCTTACGACACCATTGCCTTTTTAATTAAGCTCTGGTCTCTGTCCTCAGGTCTGGGCTCTGCACCCCACATTGAAATGAAGGGCCATGAAAATGGGGGCCTCCGGCTGGAATGTACCTCTGTAGGGTGGTACCCACAGCCCCTTGCAGTGTGGCGGGGCCCTGTCGGTAAGATCATGCCGGCCCTGGAGGAGGCTTACACTGTGGACACCAATGGCCTTTTCCTGGTAGCCACAGCTGTGATCATCAGAGACTGCGCTGTGAGGAGCATGACCTGCACCATCAACAACACGCTGCTCAGCCAGGAGAAGGAAACCGTGATTTTCATTCCAGGTTAGTTCCCTGACTGCTGGATTCTCATCACATGGAGGCAGGATCCTCAGCCAATTGGAGTCCAAAGCCTGAATGGGGAAATGGCGGGGGCGGGGCGGGCGGTTAGAAGGGGTCCTGGACCCTGAAGAACTGGTGACTGCAGCTCAGTTAAGGCCTCTGCCCTTGTCACAGGGGGAAATCAAATACAGTTGACGCTTGGATGACACAGAGGTTTGTGTTCCCCAAGCAATTGCAAATCCACCTGTTAACTTTTGACTTCCCCAAAATGTAACTGTAGTCATCCCTGGTGCCTGAGGGGAACTGGTTTTAGGACCCCAGAGAATACCAAAATCTTCTAATGGTCAAGTTTTTAGAGTCAGCCCTTCATACAACCTTGGGTTCTCCACCCATAGATTCAATCAACAGACATATCAGTTGTGAATCAGTGGATATGGAGCCCAAGGATAGAAAGAAATACACATACAAGTGGATTTTGGTTAATTCAAAACCATGCTTGAGGGTCAACAGTAATCTCAAAACTCATAAGGAAGAATCTCTTCTCTGAGGGTAAACCTAATGTTTTCTCCATTATAGTCCTTATCCTACAACAATTTTTTAACACTTAGAACAACCATGAAAATAAAGAGTGGTATAGTTGGGCGACTTTCTACACTTGGTGGCACTGACTACTAAAGACCTCCTTTTCTGCCCATGGGATTCTGCTGGGACATGCTCTGTCTATACACAATCATAAATTCATTCAACAAATACTTAACCAGCATCTCATAGTTCAAGGGTATTATTGCAGAAAATGAAGATAAATCATTGAACAAAACACACAAAGATCCACCCCCCTTATGGGGCTCACAATCTAGAGTGACAGAGGGCAATAAGTAAAATAATTACAAGGAGTAAAATAATTAAACTGCAGATTGTATCAGATGGTGATAAATACTGTAAGAAAAAATTAATTGGAGAAGTTAGGGAATGTGAGAGGCCTTGAAGGAATTGTAATTATAAATAAGATGGTCAGGGAAGTTTTCACTGAAAAGACAACATTTGGGCAGAGAAACCATGCAGATATTGGAGCACTTAGCTAGTCAGGACAGCATATGCAAAGGCCCTGAGGCAGGAACATTTCTGACAGTTTCGAGAACCCCAAGGTGAAGCAGGGGTAGCTGGAATGGACTGAGTGCAGGAAGAGTTGGAGGAGAGGCAACGCTTCCAGATCATATGGGACAATATGTAGGCCCCTTTGGCTTATAGTATAAGTGAGGTAGGAACATTGCAGCATTTTGAGCAAAGCGATAACAACACAATCTCACTTAGGCTGCTGTGCTGAGGGTAGACTGCCGAGGGTATGGGCAGAGGCAGTGCCGGGGGCATTGCGATATTCCAAGGCAAGAAGTCATGGTGGCTTGTACCAGGGTGGTGGCTGATTAATTGTTAATTCCCTTGGTCTTTTCCATGGTGACTGCAGGTGTTTCTGCTCTTTATCTCCTGGGTCCAGTGTGGAGCCAAGGTCTCTTTCTCAGACTGTAGTTTCTGAAAGAGAAGCTGACAGCAGAATTTGAGGAGACCCTCAGATTTAGGTCTCTCCAGATGTGAAGCCTCTCATCCTGGTCTCCTGCTTCTCCTTTCCTGCTTCCCTTCTCAGAATCCTTCATTCCCTGCACGTCCCTCTGGATGGCAACTCTGGCCATTATCCCCCCCGTTCTGCTCCTCCTCATCGCAGGGGGCATCTGTCTCATCAAAAAACTCCACGGGGAAAAAGAGGTCCCATCAGTGGGAAAAAAGGTTGAAAATGAAGAAAAAGAACATGTGGAAAAAGAGAAAGAACATCAAATAAGAGGTAAGAGAGTAGGAGGACAGTTCACTGCCATACAAAGGACACCGCTCTGCTAGCTGGAAGCCTGGGAAACAGAGAGGGGATGAATTTCACTCATTGTCAGGCATCGGGTTCTTCATTCTGTGACTGCTGCATCCACTCACCTGGCTACATACACCACTATATTGTTGCACAAAAGCAAACCTAAATAAGTACTGATAATATCCAACCACCTGGTCATAGATCATTTCTGATATCTTGGCAATTCTTAGAGAAAGTGGGGGGAGGAGTTTATAGAAAGGGTCAGCCCTTCACTATTTAATGCAATTCTTAATTCTTCTATGAGAACATTGATTTGCTTCTATTTCTTTGCCAGAGCAACTTCAAGAAGAATTGCGTAAGTTTTGCATTTCCTGCACTAACTAGTCCATGCACAATTTGGATTCTGCTCAGTTAGCCATTATCTCACGATGCTCCCCTCTCTGGCTGTCCCATTGCAGGATGGAGAAGAACCCTCCTACATGCAGGTGAGCGCCTTTGACACCCTTCAGATACTGAGCCTTCTCCCCACTAGGCAGCCAGCTAAAGGACACATTAGAGGAGAAGGACAAGGAAGCCCAAGGCTTGATGTGGGGGGCCCAAGGGGCTGGGAACAGTTCCCTGGCAGTACCCTACCCAACTCTTCTGTCAGGGAGTCCCCGCAGTCCTGAGTCAGCGAACCCATGACTCCACAGGTCTGCCATACATAGTGAATCTCCCCAAAGGTGACTTTCAGTAGTTGCTACTCTTTGGATGCTGGGTTAATTTGGGGTGGAGAGGCAATACTGGCTTAGCCATTTGTAACCTGGGAGATGGTACAGATCTGTGCAATTAAAGAGCAGTGTGTGGGGAGGCAGTGTGTGGGGAAGGCCTCCCAAGCCTGCCTTGGGGATGAGCAAATGCCCTTCTGCCCTGAGAGGACACTGATCCTCCATGTCTTGTCCACAGGGAGGGGAGTAGGGTAAGTGGGTGAACAGAATCGAGTCAACCTGTCCTAAGGAGCCCTTTGCTTGTTATGATTTTGTCACCTTCAGCTCAAAAGCACCAAGCCATCCAGGCTTGATTGGATACTCAGGCCTTCCCTCTTTGGGTGAATTTCAAAACTGTCATGAGCAGACATATCAACTTGGAGAAAGGATAAAATCACTCTTACACGGTAGAAATGTCTAACACTAACTGGTGGCTGGACGGATCTGCAGAAGAGCAGGGTCTGCAGCATGTTCTGTCTATAGAAGTTGTAACTATAGACTTCAGACCCTTGTTACTAAAGCAAAACCGGAAGGAAATAATCCCCCTACCTTTTGCATACATACCTTCCAGATTATAGGTTGGTTTTGGGGGATATTTCTCCCCTTTTTTGACCCTTTGAAGGGTACCCTTATTAGACATTTTAATCAGTGGTCACCTGGTTAAACTGGCGGAACCCAAAGGACCAGCAAAGACACTCTTTACCTGCCGCGGACCAACGCAGCGGTAGACTAGCAGGACTGTCTCAGGATTGAGGAACTGTGAGGATGCTCAAGGAATCAGCGCATAAATGACAGACAGACACACTTCAAGAGTGAAGATATGAATGTAATTTGCTCAAATCATTACGCATATTTATACATTTTCAAAAGGCATTAGGTCACACAAAATTTATTTTCCCAGCATAACAATGTTTCTTGTTACCTAGGCATAGAATGCAATTTTCTAGCTAAGAGTTTACAAGTTGCTAAGCATATGTGTTTACAATGCATTTCCTGAAACTGATTTTCACATATATAGAAAAAGTCAGGTAAGAAAATAGTATAATTATAGACAAGTTGCTAAGTTACTACTTATTCAGAAACAATGACTAACTGGTTAATGGTTAAACTGTTTTGTAGGTAATTCCATCAGGCTTGTTTGTAGGCAACGCTCTTAGCAGCCTTGTTTTCAAGCAAAGGAGGGGTTTTTTACTGCGGGCTTAGTGCCTAGATTAGACTTATAGTCCTTTAGACATTTGCCTGAATTTAACGCCAAAGATTTTCATGATGAAGCCCCTCGGGGACTGCGCCTGTCTTAGGTCATCAGGAGTCGCAGACAAGCGGCTGGCCAGTGCCTTCTTTAGTCTGCCCCCGATCTTACCCGTCATTGACTGTCCAGTCCAGCGCACAGGGGAAGGGGGTCTTATTTACTCTGACTTTCTATGTGTCTGAGTAAAAGCCTCCCTCTTTCCAGTATGTTCACTGGCATTCAGCGGCAGGGGCTGCCGCATTTACCCCCCAGGAGTCTATACAGTGAGAACTTGACTTTAATGGCTTCATCGGGAGAGTGGGAGGTGATAGGGCCTCTGCAGATTTAAGCCATTTGGAAATTTCCTAACTAAAGGGAGTTCCCGGGGGTTATATGTCTTGAATGGAAAAGGGGGAATTCTGAGGATGTTCAGAGGAATTAGGGCCATTAATCTCAGCTCATTCGTTGAACTTTCTACATTGCTTAGAGCCCGTCATCCTCTCCCTGTCACTCAAGAGCCCCCCTCATCCTCAGTCTGTGAATTGTGTGGGGTCTGGGTTCAAGGGGCCTTGTGGAAAGGTGGCAGCACACATAGGGCTTCCCCTTCCCCACCCCCCTACTTTCTGGGATCTCTCTAGGGACCAGGGATCACACATTGTCCTGAGATCCCAAGCCTAACCCTGAGACTTCCTCTGCAGCTGATGTGGTCCTGGACCCAGACACGGCTCACCCAGAGCTCTTCCTGTCAGAGGACGGGAGAAGCGTGAGTCGGGGCCCCTCCCGGCAGAGCGTGCCTGACAACCCGGAGAGATTCGATTGTCGGCCATGCGTCCTGGGCCTGCAGAGCTTCTCTTCAGGGAGACATTACTGGGAGGTGAAGGTGGAAAACGTGATGGTGTGGGCTGTGGGCGTTTGTAGAGACAGTGTTGAGAGGAAAGGGGAGGCCTTACTGGTTCCTCAGAATGGCTTCTGGACTCTGGAGATGTTTGGAAACCAGTACCGGGTCCTGTCCTCCCCTGAGAAGGTTCTGCCCCTGACAGAGCGCCTCCGGCGCGTGGCCATCTTCCTGGACTACGAGGCCGGAGACATCTCCTTCTACAACATGAGAGACAGATCGCACATCTACACATGTCCCCGTTCGCTCTTTTGTGGGTCTCTGAGGCCTTTCTTCAGGCTGGGGTCTGATGATAGCCCCCTCTTCATCTGCCCAGCATTCACGGGGGCCCAGGGGATCATGGTGCCTGAGTCTGGCCTGATCCTTCACAGGTCAGGCACCCAGCAGAGCCTCCAGGATCAATTCCGTGGTCTCAGAGCCTAGTGGAGAAAAGCCCAGGCCATCTCAGCTATCTCAGCACAGCGCCCTGTAGAGGAACATGGCCTGGTTCCCCTGGTCACATCAGAGGGCTCGGTCAGCCACCCCCTGGACACCCTTTGCAGGCCCAGACCCTATCTCTCCCTCGTTAGGCCGTGGTAAGTAGCTCATTGGCTTTTAACCTTGGGGAAGGGCACAGTGTCAGGGAAACTAGCACTACCACATGGCTGCCAGCCAAGAAGGAAGTGTGAGCCTGAAACAGGCAGAAAACCTGCCACTTTGACATCAGAGTGACACATCAACCTGACACTCGAGTTGACATCAGACACTGTGGACTCAGGGCAAGGGCAACAGGACACCTCAGGATGTACCAGGAGCAGGGAAAGCACAAATAAAGGTCAGGGGTAGAAGCAGCAAGACCAGGGAGGTAGGAGGGGCCAAGGCTGTGAGCATCCTTAAGCCCCTTCTGACAAGCCAAGGAAGGGTTCCAGGAGCAGAAGGTCCGTTTCCATTCCACCCCCAAGATTTCCCAAGGGCATAGGAAAGCTCTCTGTGCCTGGAATTGAGACGGAGAAGGATGAAGGAGAAAGATCCCTCTGGATCTGATCTGGTGGTGGTGTCCATGCGATAAGCAAGGAGAGAGAACTCAGTTATTGAGTATGCCCTAAGATTTAATGTCCCCAAAGAGCAGGTGAAGATCACAAGTGGACCACAAGAGAGAACACCAGTTCCCCGCTTTGGGCCTCAGGATTCCTTCAAACACTTGAAATGTTTTGAGGACCCCCCCCCCTAAGAGCTTTTGTTTATTTGGGCTGTATCTGCTGATATTTATGACATTAGAGGTTGAAGCTGAGAAAAAAAAATGTTAGATGTATTGTTAATTTATGATTTAATAACAATAATAAGCCCATTCTAGTTATATTTATAAAAATAAATTTTATGAAAAAAACATGTTTCTAAAGCAAAATAAATGTTATTGAGAAGTAAGATCTTCTTAATGTTTTACTCTAATATCTACCCACCAGGAGATGGCCAGACCCACGTTTGCCTCTGTATTCAACACTGAGGTATCAACTGTATGTATAAGTTATGCAGGTTCTAGAACACTTCACTATCTGCAGTATAAGAATGAGAGCAAAGAAAACAAAAAATGTTTGATGATGATGATAATGGAAACATTATTAACCTTGTCGACTCCTTGAAATTGTGACACCCCCAGAAATTCTGCAAACCACGTTTTGAGAACCAAGATAGAGGAACCTGGAATTGAGTCAAGCATTTAAAATCATAGTTTAAAATGGTAGCCCTTTGAAATTTACATAGTACAGTAATCCAGTGGTAAAATTGAATCCAAAAAAGAATTATAAAGCCAAGCCCACAATGTTACTACTGCAACTACAAACGGACACATTCTGAAGAGAATCAGAAACATTGAAATAGCTAAATCAGTTACGATGGAATACTGAGTTACCCATATGTATATGTTGTTTTATTTTTTTGTGCAGTTGTTTCAATATTATTTGAATGATTTTAACTAAAACACCAGACTGCAAGCTCAGAAACAAGTGCTGCGAATAACTGGCCATTTTTTATTTTTTACCAAGTTGCAGTTTTTCATGTTTCCTTTTCTGTAAAATAAGGCTTTGGGTGGATGTGTATATCTTTATTATAGTTTACAAAGCTTCACTTATGTTGCACCCTTGCATTCTCACAATATGCTTATCTCCATTCACAGTAATATGTGTGTGGCAAGATCAAGTGATTTTTTTTGTTCAAGGAAAATAATGTTCTCATCCAGACACTTTTGCTAAATCATGCCTTGTCCTTAAAGTGCCTTCCATATGTAAAAGTCACTTGTTTTAAGTATTTGTTGAAACTAGACATGAACCCAATTCTGTGTTAGCCACTCTGGGGAACATTAAAATAGTAAACAACTTGGTCTCTATTGACCTTTACTTGTTCTTTCATTTATATTTTTATTTATCTGTTCATTCTCAATGAATTGAGCACCTTTCATGCATCCACCATGTGCAAAGTTGAATGCCATATAGGAAACAGCAGGGTGATACTGTGGTGAGGAATAGTGAGGGTGGGGGCGACTACTTTAGATGTACAGTTACAAAGGGCCTCCTGGAGAGCATGATATCTTTTCTGAGACTTGAAGACTAAGAGTCACTCATGGGAGCTGGAGGTGGGGGTAGGAGCTGAGTAGATATTTTAGGTTTCTGTGAGGCCAGTTTACAGAATAATTTCTTTTCTTCCCAGACTCCCCAGTGTTTGGCCTTAAACCAACCTATTCATACCATAAGACACAGGGCACATGTATAATCATCCCAGACCTTTCAATTTGCAGTGTTACTAAGCAACCTTAAAGGATTTTGATACCCAGTGTAGGCATGGGCCTCCACCCCACTGGGTTCTTGTACTGATAAAACAATCAAGTTAACATCAGACAGACTAGGAGGAGAAATGAACAACTTAATTACATACGTATGGAGAATTCACTTGGACATAGATTCTAAAGCAAATGAGGCAAAATGAAGGTGTGCTTTCTGAACTAGGACATAGGATAGGGACCTGGGGCTTCATGGAAAGAGAACAGGGACTCACATGACAAGGAGAAGGTGACTTATATGACCAGATGCTCTGCCATACAGATAGGTTTCTCCAGTAGAAAGATAATTTCTGGTAAAACCCTAACTTTGGGTAATACCCACAATTTTCATGCTTGTAGGTTATCGAGAAAGAGGTTAAGGTTTCTTAGGAGATGGCCAGTCCTCAACTGACCTTAGTCTGAAATAATTTGCATGTCAACATGATACATTTTACAAAGGCCTATTTTGGACATGTTGGGAGACGTATCCTTCAAAACCAACATCAGACAAGGCCATTCTTGCGGAACAAAAACAGATGCATTCTATAATCCTATCAGAGAACAGATAAAACCAAAACAAGAACACTGCAAACCTCAGAAATGACTGTACATCTCCCTCTCTCGGCTAACTGCAGCATTTGCTGCTGCTTCATCACTTTTAATTTTAGCCCACTCTGCTCCTCTACCTCCTAATAAAAATATCTAGTGTGTTAGATCATACAACGGTCCCCTGCTTTCTGACAGCAATGATGCAGAACAAACTTTCCTTTTTTGAATCTTCCCCCAAATCACCCTAAATCCTACATTCCCCACACCCTCTCATGGAGACACAGTGACCCACCCCTGCCAACCCCCTCGGTGTGTGGAATCAGCTGTAACAAGTACCAACAAATGCAACTAACTGTGTTTAACCACAGGGGGTCTTCAGCCTGGTCACAGGCAAGAGTGAACCCCACTGCCACTCTACAGTGCTTACCCCACCCCACCACCACCCCAAACTTGACCTCAGGCTTTCTGTTCCCGAGATTCAGGAAAATCTCTTAGTTTCGAAAGCCAAAAGGAACTTCCTGCACATTTCTAAGAGCAAAAATTGAAACAAAAAGCCTTCCTTGTTCATAACCCATGGATCCATTTCCGCAATCCAGTGTTCACAGAAGGCAACAGTCACCCCATTGTATGCTTCACGAACACACTCATCCTCCTTCCTACACCTTTAACTCAATCATTGGTCTAATTCTGTTTATTTTCCAAAGGGAACTTATAAAGAGCTTGAAGAAGTCTTGGTTCTCCCCTCATTTTTCTATCAACGAGGTTTTGCACACTTATAAAAACTCTCTCACTGCTGAGTGGGAAAAGTCCAGTTGCATGAAGATCAGTGGCTCTTCACTTCTCTGACTTTGTGCTCCTAACGCCCGTGTATTCAATGCCTCAGAATATGCATAATGGCAGCATTTTAGTGAAGAGGATGTAAAGAAGAGAAATGTTGGTGAATTGCCTCGACATTTCCCTTAGAAGACACACCGGTCTCTTGGAAGCTGATCCTAAGATTAGCCATTTCTCCTTTCCCTCGAATTACTTGAAGTCACACTCATCTGAGGCTGACAATTAGGAAAGAACTCAGTGGAGGGGCATGGGATGAGGTAGAGAGTAAGGGTTAAGGGCCTAGGAGTAGAGACCAGTCAACAAACTGAAAGGTCTTCTGAGGTCACCTGCAAGTTTCTGGGAAGGCGTATCAATGCCTTGGACAAAAAGAGACGCCTCTGTCATTCCCGGCCTCCTCATCTCTTCCCCACCCTCTCTTTCGCCTTCTCTCCGCCTACATGCACTCCCTGTTCATATTCACCCTAGAAGATCCTCAACCAATGATGGGTTGGATTGTAACTAAATTTTCTGTTTTCCCACCCCTCAGTGACAATTCTGAATTGAGTAGTTTCCAGTTCCACACAATCTCTCAGAGATTATGAAGAGGAGTGAGTCTGTCTTCCAGGTATTCACAAAGGTAAACCAGGAATTATCAAACCCTTTGTTGGTTCTTCCCTGTCTTATTTGCTTACTTCCCCTCAGTGTTTTCTGGGATCTTTCCCAATTAAATTACTTATACCAAAAATCTGTGCGTTGGGGCCTGCTTTGGGGAGAACTTGAGCTAAGACAAGATCTGATAAGGCAATTCAGAATGATAGCTGTGCTAAAAGAAAAACAAAATGAAGTAAGACAATAATGAGTTCATGTTTTACTCCTAAAATTTTTAAACTCTGTATTTTCAGGTTTTCTATAGCCAGTCGCCCAGAGGGTGAATGTTACCCATCAGGTAACCAGAAGAACAGCTGCAGAGGAGAAGATTCTGGGAAGAACTCAGAGAGGCACACACTCCTGATCCTCCTATTTCTTCCTTGCTCAGTTCAACTTCACTTTATTGGCTCCCATAAGTTTCCTGTCTGCCCTTCTTTATTATTCTAGGGACACTCAGTCTCAAACACATTTCCAGGATTATGACTCACAGATGTCAACACTCAACCAGACCTCAGCTTCTTGTTCCCTGGGGGCACATTTAATTCTCCCCCCATCCCCCCGACCTCCACCTCCACACATACACTCTCCATTAAATTTCCCTCTACACAAAATCCTTTACCATCTTCTTCAGACCTCTTCACCTCCTTTCTACCCACCCCTCACATACACAAACTCTGTTGAGCTACAAAATATGTAAACCTAACAGTGTGGTAAATAGAGGAATTATGTCAATGTTATAATGTTGACTTATCATCAGGTCACCTCTGATACCTTCCAGCATGTCAACAGCTGGTCACAGAGCTCACTAGCAAGCCACAGAATACAGTTCTACACCTGATACCCATTCTTCCGAGTCCTTTGTCAGCATGGTCTAGCTGCCTGCCAAAGAAACAAGCCCAAGACCTGGGCAGAGGCATCCCCAGGGGCATCCCCAGCTGCTTCCTCACTAGCAGTTTCTGAATAAGAAGGAGGATGCAACTCTTGTGGACCAGCAGAGAGAATCTTGGTCCCACTCCAGACCTACTCTTAATAAGTCAGAATCTGTGCTTTTAATTAGACCCTCCAGCGAAGCACATCTCAATTTAGTTACAGAAGGGCTGCTTTGGGAGGGGCAGAGGTAAGGAGGAGATAGACAAGCTCTGAGGGTACTGATATATGGTACGTAAAAATGGAAACATGTGACACAAGAATACCACTGTTATAGCTATTTACTCAAGAATATGAAAAACATTAATATGAGATTAATGCACACCTATGTTCATTCATAGCTGCATTATAATAGTCAAAGTCGTGGAACTGCCCAGCTACAAATGACTAGATAAATCAACTGTGGAATAGATACTCACTGGAATACTGCTCAATTATTTAAAAAGATGATAGAGCCTCTTGGAACAAAACAGATCAACCTTGATTATGCTAAGTGAAATAAGTCAGAAAATAAAAGGCAGGGGCCTCCCTGGTGGTGCAAGGGGTTAAGCACCGCACTATGAAGCAATCTGCGACCTCTGCAGCACGAGTTCGATCACTAGCCAGGGAGGTGACACACATGGCGCAGCAGACCTCTCCTGTCTTGCCCGCTGCTCCCCTCAGTAGTGTATTTCAGTACATCTGCCTGTTCTGCTCCCCACCCTGCCTCTAGTGAATCCTCTTATCCCCCGCACCTCTGGCCTGCACCCTAGTTCTTATATGCATAAATAAATAAATCTTTTTAAAAAGAAAGAAAAGACAGATACCAAATGGTTCCACTTTTTTGTGGAATATAAATAACTGAAGAAAACTGTTGCAACACAACAAAAATAATTCTTAGAGCCTATGAAAAATATACTGGTTACCAGGGGTAACAACAGGGAGGAAGGGGCTAGGACATGGGGCAGGAGGTTTGGTGGAGAGTGAGTGAAGCTTGTGCCCCTGTGGAGGTTTGAAAATGTACCCCCAAAATTATATAGTTATGTAAATGACTGAGAAATTAATAAAACTTGAGGAAAGAAAGAAATTTTACTTGGAGACTGTTAGAGGGTGATGGGAATGTAGAAAACTAAAAAAAGGAAATGAAATAAACCTTTTAACTCCTGCCCCCCCCACCCCACCCCAAAACACAAGAAGTTATACAGGAAAACAAATGTAATCATAAATGATACTTGGCTCCACAAAATGGCTATATAACCATAATATTGAAAACACTGAACAAAAGTGATACATTTCTATTGGTGATAGAAGAGAACTGGGCTAGTCAGGGTTCTCCAGAGAAACAGAACCAATAGCAGAATATGGATAAATAGATACATACAGCTATATCAATAGATACAGATATACCGAGATACAGATTCATTGCTCATATGATTATGGAAGCTCAGAAGCCCATGATCTTCTCCTGACATGTTGGAGGCCCAGGAAAATGGGTGGTAAAATTCCAGCACAGACTTGAAAACCTAAGAACCGGGGGAGTCAATGGTATAAACTGGTGCAGAGTCCAAAGACTGGAGAACCAGAAGTAGTGATGTCTCAAGACTGGAGGAGACATATGTCCCAGCAAGCAGAGAGCGAACTCATTCTTCCTCTGCGTTTCTGTTCAGGCACTCAATGGATTGGATGATGCCCACCTGCACCGTGAAGACAATCTTTACTCAGCTTACCAATTCTAATGCTTATCTCTTCCAGAAACATCTTTATAGATACACTCAGAAGTAATCTGGACATCCCTTTGCCTAGTCAAGTTAATACAAAATTATCTATCACAGGAACTAAATTACCATTTATCATAATAGGGCATTAAAAAGAAATATAGGGCCCCTCTGGTGGCCCAGCGGGGTTGAGCGCAGCGCTGTGAAGCAGTCTGCAACCTCTGCAGCGTGGGTTCGATTCCCAGCAGGCCAGGGAGATACCCACATGGCGTGGCAGACCTCTCCTGTCTCCCCCACTGCTCCCCTCAGCAGTGTATTTCAGTCAATCCGCCTGCTCTGCTCCCCGCTCTGTCTCTGGTGAATCCTCTCACCCTCTTGCGCCTCTGGCCTGCACCCCATCTCTTGTATAAATGAAAATAAATCTTTAAAAAAAGAGAGAAATATACATAAAGATGGCTAGCTCAAGAAATGGCAACATAAATGCTATTATCTTGAGAACTAGGTAGATAAATACCATGAAACAATGAAGTATTTGAAGAAGCTTTTTCTGGGGAATATGGAGGGATAGGGTGGAAGAAATCATGCTTTTCTTAAAAACTCTTTATATTATTTGGTTTTTAAAAAGCTCTTTGTATGGGTTGTTTTATACAATAAAAATGAAATTTTAGAAGAAAAGCAAGTGATTGCCTCAGGAAAATTAAGTAAGATGAGCATAATCAATGGATTTGACCTGTCTACAATGTTGGAAATTAAAAGAAATGTGATGAAAAAGGCAGGGGAGGGCCCTGATATTTTGCTATCAGATTTGCTGGCACATGGGAAACATCAAATTCCTCAGCCCACATGGTTTTTATGTCTGAGAGGAAGAAGTTTGTGCTTCTGTTCTCCACTGGGACTAGCAGGATCTTCATCAGAGCAGTCACATCAGAGTCTTCTCATAATCAGTGGTGCCACGAGAGGCAGGGACCTGTTGATATCTGCCAAAATGATTCAGACATCACCCAATCAGAATGTGACCACCATGTAATAGCTTGAGTTATAGATACCATTTGTTATTATTTTGCTGGTCAGGTTTCAGTCTAGCTGGTCCCATGCAAGCAGAAGACTGCTTTTTTCCCAAAAACATTTCCTGTGAGATTTTTTTTGTCAATGTAGACAAAGACAGAAGTCTAATTAGAGTGGGTTGAAAAGAGGAACTTGGTAATAGGCGGTATTTTTGAAAGTTAAATCCCAAGGAGAGCTGTGAGTGAGTCAGGAGCGTGCCAAACTAGGAAGGCTAAGGACCTTAAGTGAGTTTTGGCAGAACGAATTGAAATGTGCAGATAAGAGGAAGTAGACCATTCAAGAAATTCAGGAGCACTAATCTAAAAACCGAAGGGGTGTTAGGTGGGTTGAGGCAGCCCAGAATTTGTTCCAAATTCTGCCAGTGGCTTGTTGAGTGGGTTGTTGGAGGGAGAAGAGGCTGAGAGGAAAGAAGCATTAGTCCCACAGCATTTTCTATACCCGATTGTGATGCCTGAACTGGGTGCTAGGATCACTGTTTCATGACATGTAGGAATTCTTAAGAGAAAAACAACATGATGAGATTTGCCCTTTGGATCATTCTCCTGGAAGTCTGCTGGGTCAATTGGAGCAATTATCTTTGTTGGTCTTAATTATAGTCACAATTAAAAAGTAAAGAACAAATCAGGGTGATGAAGGACTCTTGCTGCAAATATAATGCAGGATTGAGATTTTTCATTTTTAAAAAGTTCTTACTGATTGCTAAGAAAATATGCCTGAGTCTGTCTAGAGGTGGGCATTTGACCTGAAATTTCACTTCCTGAATATATCAAATGGTTAACATGAAAAATGACCAGCCTGTACTGTCATATAGATGCATAAGAAGTGGGCTTCGTGGCTTAGCTGGTTAAATCTCCTGTCTACTAAATGCATAATAAGACAATAATTTGATCAAATCCCCCCATCCCATGAGTCATGATGAAGGACAATAACCCTCAGTGCTCACAGGAACTAGGTGAGAAGGACATTTCTGCTGATGGTGTGATAGGCTAACATTCCAGGAAGAAACACTGGCATTATCCTCGTACCCTTTGACCTGATGACTGTATTTCTGGGAACTGATCAGAAAGTTTATCAGGAAGTTGTCACAGATGTGGACAAAGACTTAGGTATAAAGTGAACTATTTATAATGGACAAAAACCCAAAAATGTCCCCCAATCTTGGGAATTATGGGAACCCACAATATGATACTATGTAACTATTACCAATGTTTTGAGCAAAAACCTCATGGATCGTTTTTTGATGTACAGAAGACTAAGAAGAAATAAGCCAAAATGTGATTAGAAGCTATCATTAATTGATGATGCTTGGGGGATTTCTACTATTGAAACATTTTTCCACATTAAAATTTTTTCCATAACAATGAGAGGTTTAGTGCCAAAAAGAGAAATTGCAGGCCTCATAAATTGCTTTTAGGAAGGTAACTTTGGCAGGGAGGCAACTGTGGGACCCTGAAAACTGAATCTCTCACCCACTCCCCCAACACACACACTCATTCCCAGACTACCTTTAATTTTCCAACCCACAGAAATAGTAGCACAACCACTTACCCTTTCCTATGCCCCTACAATATACTAAGTACTGTTCATGCTTAATCTCATGTAACCCTTCCAACACCTCTCTAAAGGAATATTAACAGTATTCCCATTTTAGAGATAAAAAGAACCAAGGCTCAGAGAGGGGAGTTCACTGACCCAAGGCCTCACAGTCATTTTAGTCTTTCTCGACTATCCTGCTTCTTCACTGTCATCACTTTTAGTGATGGATGTCTTGATCCCTGAGCTAAAGACACAGGTCCACAGCCTCTTCACCTCTCTGAAAGACATTTTTTTTCCACAGTAAATACTTCAGGAACCTGGGGGCTGGTGCTCCCACAGAACTTCCTCCTTCCTTCTCGGAGTTTAACTTTTGCCTGTTGGGCCACCATCAGTTTTCTCATTTGGCGGCAGAGGCTCCATGGTGCGTTTTCCTCCGAGATCAAAGGTCAGTATCAGCGGATACTCTCAGCTCCCTGCAAGCCAGCAGGCAGGAGGGCACCCTTGCTCCCTGGCTCCTTCCTCTTCAGGGCCCCTATTCTGCACACCCTTTAGCGCTTGTCAACCCCCCTTTCTTTGTTTAAGATTTATTTATTTATGCGTATAAGAACTGGGGTACAGGCCAGAGGTGTGGGGGGTATGAATCCTCTGGTGAGAGGATTCACCAGAGACAGAGTGGTAAACAGAACAGGTGGAATGACTGAAATACACTGCTGAGGGGAGCAGCAGGTGAGACAGGAGAGGTCTGCTGCGCCACATGGGTAGCTCCCTAGCTGGGGATCCAACGAGTGCTGCAGTAGCTGCGGATAGCTTCATAGGTTGTGTCTTGACCCCTTGCGCCAGCAGGGAGGCCCGGCCCCTCTTTCTTGTTCCATGTCCCTATTTCCCCTTTTCTCTCATCTGGTTCACCCCACTGGTTTCCATCTCTGCCACTATTGCTAAAAATAATGCTAAAAGCAAATATTAAATGGTTGTCTTTGAAAGAAGACACAGACACTTTGTAGGACAGTGTTTCTAAGATTTGTCCATTTATATCAACCTATTCATGGGTATTAAGTCTCACAATTCTCTTCTTGTGAGTCTCTTTTTGGGGTTACACTGTTCATTTTGTTGCTCCTGCTTGACCAAACTTGGGTGGCGGGTGGGTGCTAATGGCAGTGGGGACTATGGTGTGTGTGTGGAGGGGGGAGGGACTAGGGCACTCCTTCTTGGAAAGAATGGTTGAGAAGTCTTGGGAGAAGAATATCTAGAGAACCCATAGTTATCTCCCACCCATTCATTTCCTAGGCTGAAGTTCCTGGCCGAGCACCTGCATCTTGTTGCCTCAGAAAGATCCAAGATGGCAGTTTTCCCCATATGTCTGCTCACCCTCCTTCTCCTCCACCTGCCCAAACTGGATTCAGGTAGGTTCCCCTCTGTCCTGTAGGGCTGAAATTTCTCGGTAAATGCACACTTCCCATTTGATTCTTCCTAGTGACCCCCACCAAGGTCCACATGGACCCCTTCGGGCTGTCAAAGGAATAAGAGAAATAGTGGGGAACACTCAGCCTTTGTGGGGAATCTGTTCGGTGTCAGTCCTCCACCCTCATCTCCACTTCTGTCTGACCCTCCTGGGTTTTGGGCAGCTCACTTTGACGTGATTGGACCTCAGGAGCCCATCCTGGCCTTGGTGGGTGAGGACGTGGAGCTGCCCTGCCATCTGTCCCCAAACGTGAGCGCGGAGCGCATGGAGCTGCGGTGGTTCCGGCAGAAGGTCTCCCCAGCGGTGCTGGTGGTTCGGGAAGGGCAGGAGCAGGAGGCGGAGCAGATGGCCGAGTACCGCGGGAGGGCCTCGCTGGTGGACCGCGACCTTCGCACCGGCCATGCGGCCGTGAAGATACACGGGGTCAAGGCCTCAGACGCCGGGGAGTACCGCTGCTTCTTCAGGGAGAACCAAAGCTACGAGGAGGCTGCCTTGCATCTGCAGGTCGCTGGTGAGTAGGCCGGGGAGACTTTCCGCGGTCACTTCCATCCATGCGGACTGGACTCACTCGCTGTGGAGCTGCTGCTTTGAAAACCATCAGGTTCACGCCCGCACATCCCTTTGGTTTGCGAAGTGTTGGCAGGTCTGGAGCGGGGCTAGAGCGGGAAGGGGGTTTCACTTGCGAGTGGAGAGAGAACAGCAATTATCTTTACTGTTGCGCTTTCTTTCACTTCTCTCTGCCTTTCCCTCCCAGTTCTAGAATACGCATCCCCGCAGGTTATCAGTTAAATGTTCACGGTCGTGGCTGTCTACCATTCCTGTCGATCAGTACCCACAGTGTACTCCGTCTATGTTTCGCCCTTGCCTTGAGGCTGGTGGCAGGGACACCCCCTGCATACTTTGAGGCTGCTTTCTGGATTAGCACCTAGAGATTGATCTCCCAAGATCACGGAGCATGGCATTAGTTAACTATTTTTTTAGATTTATTTATTTATGCATACAAGAACTGGGGTACAGGCCAGAGGTGCGGGGGAGGGAGGGTGAGAGGATTCACCAGAGACAGAGTGGGGAGCAGAACAGGTAGATCTACTGAAATACACTGCTGGGGGGAGCAGCCGGTGAGGCAGGAGAGGTCTGTTGTGTCGTGTGGCCTTCTCCCTGGCCGAGGATCAAACTCGTGCTGCAGAGGCTGCAGATAGCTTCACAGTGCTGTGCTTTAACCCCTTGCACCACCAGGGAGGCCCTAGTTAACTTTTTTGATCCCTCCATGCCATCCACCCACCCAAAGTTTTGTTTTTGTTTCCATTTGCCTTCAAGCTGAAAGTCAGGGTGAAACAAGGAGGAAAAAGGTAAACACTCAGGAGGAGAGTCCACCCTGAGGTCCCTGGCTCCCTCTGGCTGGGAAATGGCATCAGCGAGTCTCTTTCTAAGCCAACTTTCCTGCAGTGAAACCCGGGAAGCCTCTGCCCAATTAGATTTTGCAAAAATGAGATAAAATTAGATAATATGTGAGAATCTTCTTTTTCTTTTTTTCTTGATATTTTATTTTATTCTTTTAAAGATTTATTTATTTATTTATACAAGCACTGGGTACAGTCAGAAGTATGGGAGGATGAGAGGATTCACCAGAGCCAGAGCAGGGAACAGAACAGGCAGACTGAGGAAGTGCACTGCTGAGGGGAGCAGCGGGCACAGCAGGAGAGGTCTGCGCGCCATGTGGGACCCTCGCTGGTGGCCGGGGATCAAACCAGTGCTACAGAGGCTGCAGGCAGCTTCGCAGCCCAGCACTCAACTGCTGTGCCACCAGAGGAGGCCCGAGAATCTTCTTTTTCAATTCAAAAAGCACTATACACTTGCCTCAAACTGCTCTACAGTGGATAGTATTTTAATATATTACCTTTCATGTAAATATTCAAATAAAGTTTGAAACATACTCAGGTGAAGCTGAGTCCGTGCCTCTGAACTGGGTGTCCCCAGGGGCAGCATCATGCATAACTCCCACTTCCTTTTTAGGGAATTATTTTACAGGTGGAAAATAAAAGCCTTAGAGATTTGATAGCATAAAACTGCATTGCTTTCTTTTCTGAGTGATAGACATTTTGAGAATCTGCTAAAAATGGCAGCTCTTTTCATGACAGGAACACATTTTTTCACATATATGCACAAACTTGGTATATGGATTTAAAAGTATGGTTGTGGGGCCTCCCTGGTGGTGCAAGGGGTTAAGCACCGCATTATGAAGCAATCCGAAGCCTCTGCAGCACAAGTTCGATCCCTGATTCCTGGCCGCCAGGGAGCAACCTACATGGTGCAGCAGACCTCTCCTGTCTCGCCCGCTGCTCCCCTCAGCAGTGTATTTCAGTCAGACTGCCTGTTCTGTTCCCTACTCTCTCTGGTGAATATCTCACCTCCCCCCCATCTCTGGCCTGTACCCCAGCTCTTGTATGCATAAATAAATAATCTTTAAAAAAATGAATAAATAAATAAAAGTATGGTTGTGGACCTGTATTTAAGGACTTTTCCCTTAGTTTGGTGTTTTTAATTAAGTGAGAAGAGCAGCTTTACATTGATTTATATCAGGATATAAAGGACATTTGTGAATCAGTATCACAGATAAAGGAAACAAATTGGCAGCTGTGACTTCAGTGCAAAGAAGAACCCTCAGTCCCCATTCTCTGCAAAGGTACTTCTCTCTTCATCCTTAAATACCTGATCCTGGTTCTCCTCCCCAAAGTTTTCTCATAATACTTCCGAGCACAGAATTCCCTCCTATCCCTGGAGTTTTCAGCTGACGCCACTGTAAACCATTGATCTTGCTGTTCCTGCTGAGTGGATAAGCATCCCATAATCTACCCATCACATTCTAACTCCTAACATGGCATCCCTCTCTGCTAAGATGCATGAAATTCCTTTGATTGATACCTCAGTTTCCTTATATAATGAAACATGGAGATGAGTCCCCCTCATTCCCAGTCCCTTTGCTTCTCTCTCTCTCTTTTTTTTTTTTTTAAGATTTATTTATGCATACAAGAACTGGGGTACAGGCCAGAGGTACTTGGGGGGAGGAGGTGAGAGGGTTCACCAGAGACAGAGTGGGGAACAGAACAGGCAGGCTGACTGAAATACACTGCTGAGGGGAGCAGTAGGCGAGACAGGAGAGGTCTGCTGCACCATGTGAGTAGCTCCCTGGCCGGGGATAAGACTCATGCCATAGTGGCTGCCAATAGCTTTACAGTGCTGAGCTCAACCCCTTGCACCACCAGGGAGGTCCGCCTTGTGCTTCTCTTTCTCAAACTCTGCAACCCTGTAGTTGTCAGACTCCAAGAAGTATGTCCATAAAGGGGTAAGCCAGCTTCTCTCTTCACAGCTCTGGGCTCTGAGCCTCATGTCCACATGGAAGTTCAAGAGAGTGGGAAGATCCAGCTGAAGTGTACCTCAGTGGGTTGGTACCCAGAGCCCCAGGTGCAGTGGAGAACTTCCAATGGAGAGAAATTTCCATCTACGTCAGAGGCCAGAACTCTTGATAAAGAAGGCCTGTTCAGTGTGGCAGCTTCCGTGACTATCAGGGACGCCTCTCTGGGGAATGTGTCTTGCTGCATCCAGAACCTCCTTCTTGGCCAGGAGAAGGAAATGGAGATTTCCATACCAGGTCAGTGAAACCAGTGCTGAGGCTCCTATGGTAGAGTTGCAGGGCCACATCACCTGGGGCCGCTGCCCAGGGGTGACCTCTGGCAGAGTTGACCACTTTCCCCACCTCAGCTTCTACACCCTGATTTCAGGGAGTCCCACTAACCACACTGTAAGGATTCTGAAGGCATCAGCTCTACCCAGAATACACAGAAATTCCATAAATTTCATTTTAAGAGATAAATTTTAGGGGGCCTTCCAGATCCAGAGCCTTCTCTCGGGGAGTAACCAAAAAGACTAAGTTATCCTCCTAGTTTTACTGTTTCCTTCTTTGTGGCCCCTCTTCCCCATCCCAAGCTAGAGCTCTGTCTAGGTTTCCAGGGTCCTCAGGGAAGCAAATCTTGTCAATATTTATTTTCCAGACACCACCTCCAGTTCACACAGGAATCTTCCTTATTTTGGGGCATTGAATTCCATTCTGTTGCACACAGAGATGATACCTGCCCTTCCCCTCTCCTTCCCTCATGCCCTAGGCTCTCATGCTGCATTGCTTTTTTAAAAAGATTTATTTTTTTAAGCATGCAAGATCTGGGGTGTAGGCCAGAGGTGTAGGGGGGTGAGAGGATTCACCAGAGACAGAGTGGGGAGCAGAACAGGCAGATCTACTGAAATAAACTGCTGAGGGGAGCAGTGGGCAAGACAGGAGAGGCCTGCTATGCCATGTGGGTCACCTCCCTGGATGGCTGGGGAATGGAGTTCATGCTGCAGTGGCTGGTGATAGCTTGATAGTGCTGTCCTTAACCCCTGGGCCACCAGGGAGGCCCCTGTATTGATTTTTAAGGAAGAATTTGCATAATAACGTGAATTAGTCCATTATGTTCTTTACTTCACAGTCCCTGTCCCCAAGGCACTCTTGTTAATATTCAGTGCTCTTTTTCTCTTCTACCTAAGATCAAAATTTTGTGAAAAGCTTCGCGTGCCACTAGAGGCACTACACTACTCCTGCCATGAGGGGAGGGGGGCCCATCCCCTCTTCCAACTTTCTTTCTTTTTTTTTTTTTTTTAAACTTTTTTTTTAAATAGAGGCATGTTTTATTTATTTATTTGTTCGTTTGTTTATACACGCACTGGGTACAGTCAGAAGCACGGGAGGGTGAGAGAATTCACCAGAGCCAGAACGGGGAGCAGAGCAGGCAGAAGGACCGAAGTACACTGCTGAGGGGAGCAGCGGGCGGCAGGAGAGGTCTGCGCGCCATGTGGGACTCTCCTCCAGTGGCCGGGGAGCAGCCGGGGATCGAAATGGAGCTGCAGAGGCTGCAGGCAGCTTCGCAACCCAGCGCTCAACCGCTGCGCCACTGGGGAGGCCCCCTCTTCCAACTTTCTTTGGGAGAAGAGCTGGACTTGCTAGGAGTATCTTCACGCATGTTGTCCTGGGGAATTTTGTTTCAGCTCCCTTCCTCCCAAGGCTGACTCCCTGGATGGTGGCTGTGATTGTCATCGTGATGGTCTTGGGACTTCTCACCATTGGATCTATATTTTTCACCTGGAGACTATACAGGGAAAAATCCAGATTGAGGAAAGATGAATTCAGCTCTAGAGGTGAGTCGCAGGCTCCCATACTGCTTGTCGGGGTGCTTCCCGGGGGCCTGGAGCCAAGTCCTTCAAGATGACTGCCCATGGGGAGATAGCTGATTCTAGAATGCTGAAAGTCAGAAGGGACTGTAAGACACCACTCCCCCACCACAAACGTCACTGACACCCAATATGAAGGAGAACAGACATTTGGGCTATAGGAGGAGTCAAAAGCAATCCTCACCCTTAGTCTCTGTCTTCACTTCTAACTCGGTTTCCTGGTAATGATCTCTTGTTATTAAAGATCTGATCCTTGACCAGTGGGAACTTCCTGACTATTTCTTAGAAAACAAAACAAGACAAAATCCTTGTTCTTCATCTACCGATATGGTTTGGTAATCAGGTCATCAGGACTTTAACAATAGCTCCTTTATGTGTTTCCACACCAGTTTTGTCCCCTTTCTCATATCCACTCTAGAAGGTCACTGAGGTGTTTCTGTTTGTTTTCCAGAGAAACTCCTGGAAGAACTCAGTAAGTTCTATCTTCTTGTCATCATTTCACCCACGGTTTTCTCTCTTTTGTTTGTCAAACCTATCTGTGACTCTCTCTCTCTCTACTTCCTTGCAGATTGGAAAAAGGCTACATTACATGCAGGTCAGTGGTTCTGAACTTTTCATAGGCTCTGAGGCTCTACCCCAGACCTTCAAAGTGCTACAATATTTGGAAATAAAAACATGCCTTAGTGATGAAGTTAGGGGAAAGATGGGGGCAAATGGCCCTGACATTCTCCTTGAGGCACAGAATGTGTCCTTGGGAGACAGCTAGGAAGCAGGCTGCCTCAACAGGTCCCATGAGGCGCTGGGACAGGCAGCTTATACAGTTGTACCAATACAAATGGTTTTGGTGTTTTCAGAGTTGTATATCCATCACCACAGGCAACTTTAGACATTTAAAGCACTTCTAAGAGAAAATTCTATCCTTTGGTTATCATTCCCTGGCCCCACACTCTTCCCAGGCCAAGCAAGCGCTAACCTACTTTCTGTCTGTATGTTTTGTCTATTCTGGACATTTCATATAAATGGAACCCCATGATATGTGGTCCTCTGACTTAGCATGTGGCTGTTAAGGAAGGAGAGGAATCAAGACAGCTGAGTGGGCCAAACAGCACTCCTCCTGAGGGGACCTGTCAGTTCCTAGAACAGATCCCTGTTTTTTCAGAGATGAAAGGGTGGGTGTTGGAGCCTCTAACATTCACTGATGCTCAGCTTGGCGCTCTGTTTATAGTGGATGTGACTCTGGATGCAGACACTGCCCACCCCCATCTCTTTCTGTATGAGGATTCAAAATCTGTCCGACTAGAAGATTCGCGCCAGAAACTATCTGAGAAACCGGAGAGATTTGACTCCTGGCCTTGCGTGTTGGGGCGTGAGGCCTTCACCTCGGGGAGACACTACTGGGAGGTGGAGGTGGGAGACAGGACCGACTGGGCGATTGGGGTGTGTAGAGAGAATGTGGTGAAGAAAGGATTTGACCCCTTGACTCCCGAGAATGGGTTCTGGGCTGTGGAGTTGTATGGAAATGGTTACTGGGCCCTCACCCCTCGCCGGACCCCTCTCCCATTGGCGGGACCCCCTCGCCGGGTTGGGATTTTCCTGGACTATGAATCAGGAGATATCTCTTTCTACAATATGATGGATGGGTCCCTTATCTATACTTTCCCCAATGTCTCTTTCTCGGGCCCCCTCCGGCCCTTCTTCTGCCTGTGGTCCTGTGGTAAGAAGCCCCTGACCATCTGCCCAACCTCTGAGGGGCCTGAGGGAGTCACAGTTATTGCTGATGCCAAGGATCATTCAAAGGATATCCCACTGTCCCCCATTGGGGAGGACTCCGTCCCTGGGGACACAGACACCCTCCATTCTAAACTCATTCCTCCCAAGCCCAGCCAAGGGGCACATTAAGGAGTGTCCCAGCTCAAATGTCTTCCTTTGCTCTAACCCTGCTCCTCCATAACCACCTGAAGCTTCAGCTGCCAACTGCCCCCAGCCCCTGCTTCTTCCCCTCAGGTAGGGAGCAGTCTAAGGAAGACTGTATTGCTGCTGCAGAGAGTGTGGGGTGTAGGGCTTTCTAATCAGTTTTTGTACCAATATTCAGGGGGCAGGGAGGTGACTCTTTAACTGCTTCTGTAGTTCTCCTCTACCTCGAGGTAGATTCTAAAGGAAGGGACTTGAAGGAAACTCAGAAGACAACTTAGTGATTGAGAGGGGGTTCCGCTAGCAAGGGGTTGTGACAGAAACATCATGGTGTCCAGAATAGGGCTACGTAGAGAAACAAATTTTAAGTAAGCACAAGGCCCAAGGCATTCTGGGAAGGGAAGATCTGAGACTGAATTTCCATAGAGGAGCTTGGAGGGGACATTCTGATGGAGGAAAAGAAAGTGAACATAAGCTAGACACCAGGCCTGTCCCTAGAGTTTTAGGGCCTGAATCAAAAATTTTAAGCTAAGTCCTACACTGTAGAGGAAACTGGTCCTATTTCTGTGGGATCTGGGTAATTGGCAAGGGGGCATAGAGAAGAGCTGATATGAGCAGGCTGGGGAGTCACAGAAGGAGTGATGGTGGTTTAGACAAGACTACTCCTGCACAGCTGTGCCTTAGGTCCCTTCTCTCTACACCTCCTGCTTCTCTCTTGCTTGAGGACTATTCCAGCCTCACTATTGACTCCACAACTCTCCCTCTTTCTTCTTCCTTTCGATTGGGAATCTCTCCATTTCAGAGGCATTTCCAGGAATGTGATGTTGCCATTTTATCAGCCACTGTCACAGCCTCATGGTCCCTCAGACATCACCCCAACATCTGGTTTAAACCCCTCAAACACACATTCATTTTGCTCCCTCTGGTACCCATTTCCACACCAGGCCATGATTCACTCCCTCCAACCTGCTTTCCTCCACGCTGCTTCTCCTTGGGGGTCCCCTGAAAGCCACCTCATTGTGCTCACACTGCTTGATTGCACCACTTTCCTCACACACCTCTCAAAGCTCACTCCTGCCATGTCCACTATATTCTTCCAGTTTCCAGGATAGATGTTGTCCATGTTCTTCACCCAATAAATAAGTGTGATTGCTGAAAGCAACCTCCGCACCTTCCTTTCTTTATCCCAACAAGTGGAGTGGAAATAAAAGCAGAGGACAGAAACCTGCATGGGGATGTGGCGGCCAGATACACTGTGGTTCCATGTAGCCAAGACCTTCCCCAGGTCTGATGGGAGAGTGCTCATCTAGGCAGGTGGGCCCAGGAGTTTGTTGTCTCCTGAGGGTCCAGCCCTGGCCATAGTGCCCAGGGCTACCCACACAGCCTCTATGTGGGTGTGACTCTATTTCTACCACTAAAAAGGTAAATGACTCCCAGTACAGGTGATAAAGCCATCTCTTCAAAAGCTTAGTGGTGGTGAGGAGGGCCTTTGAAAACTGCTATTCCAGAGAGGAAGCCACATGGATACCTGCTTGAGGCCCTCAGAGTTCAGTAAAATGTCCTCTTTCCCTGTGTTGTCCCTAGCAAGAATCAGGAACAGTGCCCTCACACAGAGTGTGACCCTCTGCAATGTCCCTGCAGACCATGAGTCTCCACAAATACATCGAATGGAGACATGGAGGGAAAATCACCTCCTGCTGAAAAAACATCAAAATCAGAGCTATTACTTATCAATCACCAAGAATCCCAAATTATGTTCACACTTTTTGACCATAAAAAATTTAAAGTTATACTTATCTATTTCCTTCTAATTATTATTGGAGTTCATCTATATATAGTTTTACATCTATATATATATACTTTTGGGTGCCACGTAGAAATAACAAGACCATTATCACACCACATTGTATTTCTCATGATGATGAAGCTAAAAATCAGCTTTTCTAAATGTTCAGTCTATTATTAGCCTCCCGGAGAACCATGACAAATTAAAACCCACCCTCCCTCCGATGGGAATTCTGAATGCCAGACAGGTCTGTTATCGTCACATTCACTATACTTGAAGTGAAATATGACCGAGAAAACAGTACTCGGTCACTTGCCTAGTGTCATTGCTCACTCCTGGGTTCTATCCCCATTTAAGTTTTTGCTGTGGTTGTGGTTTTGATGTCTTTCTATTGACTTGGGTTTCAAAATCTACATAATAATATCTACAAAATTGCCTTTACATGGGTGTGTTCCCAGATTACTTTTAAAGGAATCCACATGCAGGTTTATAAATCAAGAGTCTATCTACAGAAGTTTCACTTTGGGGAGGGATTGAGAAGAAAATGTAATGGATGAGAAGAAACTATTGACACTGACTTCCTCCACCGCCCTTTGGATGAGGAAACTAAAGCTCAAAGAAGCGGTTGAGTCAAATGTACATAGTATATACCCAAGCCATCTGCAAGCAGGTGTTCTTGCTTTCTGTCCAAGACATCTTCCACATTGCAAACCACAGTGAAGTAGGACAGACTGAGTTCATCTGGGAGCTGGAGCTTCAGAAGACTGTTTAGAGAAATTACCCAGGTGGTTCCCATGGACTCAGGGGATTCTAAGGCATACAGAGGAGCAGGAGAAGAAAAAAGCACTACGCATGCCTTCTGCCCAGACAGAAATCCCAGTACATAAAGAATCAGAGAGAAAGGGCTCTTTCTGTCACAGAGTGGTGCCCAGTAAAAGGGGAAGTTCCAGATTCCCTGCCCCACCCAAAGGAGGGTTGAGCTAAGTAGAGAGAGGAGAAGCTGGAGAGAAGACTAGGGAAGGAAGGAAGCAGGATGGAGAGCCAGAAGGAGACCTGGAGAAGGCACATGGAGCAGAGAGACATGTGAAGAAGTTGTGCTTGCTTCTTGGTCTGGGACTCGTTGAAACAGATGTGGGTGAGAGACCTGTGGGGATGTTAACAATGGCAGCTTTTATCTTGATTTTAAGTTTGCTCCTTTCCTCCCAGATTTGTCTGGTTGTTTCTGATCCTTTTCTGTGGGTCCCTGCAGGAAGGTGCTTTAGACTTGTGTCAGCTTTTGGGCCTTGCTCTGGCCCAGTCCTGCTTGGGTGGACTTTTGTCCATGAGAGGATGGGTAACTTTGGGTACTTGATATAGAAACTATATCCTTTGTCTTTTCTCTATTGTTCACTAATTGTATTCAAGTGTCTTTCCAGTAAAGTTCTTATATGCTTTGTCTTGATGTGCTAGATGGCAGAACCTATTTAAAGCAGGCATGTTTGGGGGTTTTGGGGTTCCCCTCTCCCTGCCCTGTAACACTTCCTCCATCATTTCATGGAACCACAGTACCCTGTGTCCTCCTTTTCTTGCTCCTTCCTCAAATACTACTCAACCTGTTTCTGGATTTGGAGGTTCCTAGATGTTTCTGGGTTTGGGGATCCCTCAATCCTTGGCCATGGCCATGAAAGATTTCAACCACATCTAAGCAAAGCAAAGCAAAGTTTATTTAGAGGGCCTGGCAGGTAGAGTTCAGGGAAGAACTACGAGGAAAGGTGGGGGACTCCTGGCTTAAATAGGGTGCAGGAAGCTGCTCACTCCATCCCTTCCTGGGGTATTGATTTACGGGCCCAGGAAGTATATTCTAAGTTACTCCCCTTTCTACTGTGCTCCCAGGGTATAGTTTTATCAGCCCAACAGCAGCTTGGGGTGGGGTCCACTTTCCCCCCTCTGAGTGTTGACTCACTCCTTGTTTTATCAGCTCTGGCAAGTGTTTCCTGGGGCCCTTGGTATAATTGGCCATTTAATTTTCTTTAGGCATTGCCCTCTCTGCTCTAACAATCCCACACTGCCCACCTCATAAATGTCAGATAAAGTTATAAAACCACACACCAAAAGTTGTCATGCATCTATATTGGTGAGTTCTCAGATGAGGTGCCAAGAACCCTTCAAGAGATGTGGCTCCAAATTTTGATGATTGTACAAAATGCATTTTGGAGACCATTGAGTATGCATAATTACAATAGCTAACAGTTACAGAGTATTTTATGCCAGATCCTGTTCTAAGTGCTTTGCATTCAATAACATGTCATTTTTCAGACCTCTGCTATCTCCCATTTTACTGGCAAAGATACTGAGATGCAGAGATGTGTCGTGGCTCCTATAAGTGCTGGCAGGCGGGAAAGCTGGGATGTAACTCCAAGTCATCTGATTCCAGGTTCCAAGTTATTGGTTACTACATTACAAAGTACTTTGTCCAGGGAATGACTTTCAAACCACCCCCTTGAACTGAGCAGATCTGGTGCTGGCTCACTGAGCAGTACACAACTTGAGACAAGCAAGAGAGTAACATAACATCTAGTTACTACCAAAGAAAGATCTTATACTGAACTGTGTAAATTCCCCTTCTAGATTATTTTAGCTGGCCTGCTAATTAAATTCTCGTAAAACAGATTAACAGGAGAATTTAATTAAACCAATTTGTTAAATTTAAAATTTTAATTTCATACATATGCATGGGATACATATCTATGTGTTCATAGATTATGGGGCCTGCAAAACCACCCAACTTGTCAGTTTATATACCTTTAGACTAAGAAACAATAAATTTGTAAAGAACTGATGAGGCAAAGAAATGTTAGGTTTGACTACTAATTAACAAGGAACTAAGCATCCTTCTCAGCCCTGAATTGCCTATCTCTGGAGATAAGGATGCCTCTCTCCCTCCTGGTACAGGGAAGGCGACTTTCACATGGGAGATTTAGACAGGAGGGTCGAGTGTCTTTTTGCACCAGCTGTTTCTCAAACAACTTTAATTCAAAATAATCAATAGGCCACTTTGGCATATTTTGGGGTTGCCTGCCATGATCCCAACAACTATATATAGTTTGACCTCAAGATCTTATAGAGAGCAGCCCCAGGTACCAGTTCCCTTCAAATAACTAAACAGCACTGGTTAAAAAGCATGAAAATAATAAAATTCAAAAATAAGAAAATTCAAAAATTA